AGTGTCGTTGACACTTACCGCCATCGAACACTTCCATGCAGAACTCCGCCAAAACTAACACGTACAGTACATCACGATGTACATCGTGACACGAATACTTTTCGTCGTTCATGCTGTCTGTTAGATAAAAATTTCAAAATATTCTGCAGATCTCTATGTGTATTTGCTTACTTCAATCGTAAAATATTTTCCTTTTTTCTTCAAACATTCCATATCTTCATGTAAATCTGAATCTCTCTCGATCGAGTGTTGCCGACGTTCACTGCGTGACTCAAAAAATGAGCCAGCAATATTTTGACCAGTTGGCTTACCGCAACTCATGTTATGGCAAGTAATATCCATAAAAATTCCCCATACATGACGTACTTACGCAGATTTCCCTGTTTGTTTTCATGGGTAAAGAAAACAAATTTGAGAGAAAAGTGAGATGCAAAGGTCGGTATTTTTTGTATCCTATGGCAGCTGTACCCTCCCTTGCAGTCTTCGTCTAAATTTTTCATGGTCCCTTCTGATCTTCTGCCAGGAGCCCACTACACAGAGCTTTCATCTCTCACCCCTCTGAGCCAACCCTGTCCCGTATCTTTTTGTTTTTAGAAGCACCTCCCACGGGTTTTTCGTGGGTGTTTACATTGTAGCCAATCATAAGAGACCTGTGGTCATCTATTGTTTACGTCACAGAAGGTCGCACGAAAGTATTTCAATAATGGCGACAAGCGCGGAAAGTCAGCGTGTTTTCGCGGGAAATTAAAGAACCCCACATATCTCAGTTCTAAAAAATAAAAAGATACGGGACAAGGTTGACTCAAGGGTACAATTGGTATGGAGGCTCCGGGTAATGGGCTCCTGCTTCTGCCTTGTTCGGTCAGTTTCTGAAACTAGATCATCGGCATCAACTTCTTCGTCCTTATTCATGCTTACAGAGGAGAACCTCTTCAATAAACCAGCTTTTGTTAGGGCAGATAGTCGGCTGAAGTATCAAGTGGTCTGCTGCTCTATCAACCAGTCTATCCGATACAACATTTCTGGACGGTTTCGTCTCTTAAACTCCACATTTGGGAAGCCATATTAGAGGCGGTTGACTTCTTATCATGTAGTTTCCTTTCTAAGAAAAGGCATTTGCTTTTGGTCTTTTTCAAAGGGCCCATCCAAAGCCGTGCACCTGGCTAATAAAGGATTGTTCGTCAGAATTTTTGCCCGAAGTCCGACCTTGAACGTAGCCACCCCCTACAGATTGGCAAGCCTCCGTCTATTTCCTCTTGATCTCATCAAAGGCAGATTCTTTTGTCAGCTTCAATTTGTGTCTGTCTATGTTAAGGTGCTTTTGGAAGGCATTAAATACGACTGTCACGTTTTGATACATCCTTCCTCTTGACAAGAGTATCTCGCTCTCTTGTTCTGTCTGTGACTGATTGAGTAGTTCTCGCGATGGCCCGGGTTAAGAGATCTGTGCACGTTGCTGACAACAACCCTCTTCTACGATTAGTTTGCTGAAGGTTTCTAGTGTGATGATCCCAGTGAGGCCCTGAGGTGCTCCAAACTATGTCAGCTAGTCTGCGCTATAAACTTGTCGCAGTTCCAAAGTCAGAGGGAGGACCTTCCGCCGCCAAACTGTTTATGTGAGCGCCTCTAAAGTATCTGCATATCCCTAGGAATCATATGATATAAAGTTCATCGCAGTCACCACTCACCAGTTAGGAAAATTGATGTTCAGATAAGCGCCCCTCTTGCCTTTCTTCCTTATTCATTGACTTTAGGATAACAGTCACAGTATGCGTTCTATTAGGTTTACAGTCACCTTGTCACCTGGAAGACTCGTCACCAGTTTTGATTTCTTCTGCCATCTTAAGATTTACCTCTCTCTCAACGCTCCGCCTCCGATTTTTATGAGGAGGTTACTGGCATGTACAAACTCGAAGGACTGAATCTCACACCTACCTGTGCACAATATTTGGGGCAAATCGTGAAATCGTGGCCTTCGTAATCTCCAAATAAGCCAATATTAGCTAGAGTAAGCTTCTCGGACAAAACGTATGTTTGTAATACATGAACGTCTCTCAAGCGCTCTTTTATGCTGTACACCCACGAATTAGGGGTATAAGCTGTTCAAAGCCCTCCTGCCCAGCGCGAGAAAAATAACATTGGGCTCTACAGTTAGTTGCAAATAAACAAGACAACTGCGCCATCTTGGATTGAGGGCTTTTTAGACGCTCGCTCACTTATGTAACATCACTATGAGGACGCAATACAGTTGATATAATATGCTACATAGGATCAATACTATCTGTTGGGCTGTTGCGAGAGGGACAAAATTTGTCTTTTTTTTTTGCCTGCAAACCAAGGGAAGACAAAGTTTTTATAACATTTGGCAAAAATTTCATGGTTCAATAGGGAAGTTACCTCGCCGCTCGTTGAGAACTATCGTCCGCTAGAGTCAAGACTTGCCAACCAGTGACCTCACCCTCGAGTGAATTAATTTTCCAAATGTAATTGCGTTCGACATAAGGAGAACGCAACCCATAGTCCTGTGGTACTCAGTTGGGATTCCTGTGTTACTCAAGGCTGATCTTATGTGGTATTCATTTTCGTCGTACGTCGGCATTTTCAGCGCTACCTTGAATAATCTACCTCGTTTTGTCCACGTCACATTCCGATGCACAAATACACACCTTGTGGTGAGTAGTTTAACTGGAAGAAGAGTAAAAGCGGTACTTTCTCGCGTTTGAGGTAAGCCTAACTGTTTTTTCAGACTTTTATAGCTAAATTTTATCCATTATCCAAGCCTGAGGGAAGTTTGCGTTACTTCTGGAACATTAGGAAAATTATTTCAAACGAGTTGTGTTCTTTCGGGAACAATAAAGTACTTCACGCCGATCTTTCCTTGGTGGCCATGTCACAACGAAGTCACAGGCGGCAAGTTGAGTGGCGGTTTTTGCAGGCAATAAAGTCTTGTTCAGCTCCTAACATCATCGGCCTCTTTACTGTACAATATTTCCACTTAGCCTTCAACTCCTCTGCAGACGTTTCCCTCTTATTTAAACTTGTTTAAGTCAAACCGCATAATGGGTACCCAACCATTCGTTCCCCGCTTCGTACAAAGCTTGCGTTAGTACGAAAACCAAAGAAAACCTTCAATCTCCACCACGAACGTACTTCATAATCAATGATTACAACTGGTAATAAATGTGGCGAGCGTGAGGAAAGGCACATTTTCACTGCTGTGATCAAAGCGCAATGATGTATCGTAATTAAATACCTATGGTATCAAACCAGTGACTATGACAGGGTGAGTCTAATTTTTTTTACGAGGTCGACGTGACTTTATATTAAAGGGTTTTTTTTTGACGGAACAAACTAGCGAGTTCCTCTGTTCGAACTGAGAAAATAAAAACTTGTATTTATCCCTCATGCGTTACGTCTGACAATAGCAGACTTCATCCAGGAGTTTTAAAAGTAGGCTGAATAAGCTTGCTTAAATAAATAACTTCTCTCTTTTCAACTGAAGCAAAGTTTTAAACTGGCAAAGTTTCATTGAAGTCGGTGAGATGGCATGTAGCACGACTGTCTGGTGTTCTCGTGGACACACTCTTAAATTTTGACCTCTGGAAATTTCATTTCTAGTGTTCTGATTTTTTTCACTCACCTAAGGTGAAAAAAACGATCAAAGAAATGCAGTGAAAAGCATTGAGAAACAAAACAACTTTCTTGCGATCATAGCGTTTATTGATGTTTTCTGCGCAGGAAAGCTTCAGTGGACCGCATGCAGACACTACCACTTGCATCCATTATCCCACCACCTTGCCGCCTTAACAATGAACAACAGTGCTATCTGTTTTACTCTGTAACCTGGTTAAAAAAAACGCTCGCGATATTTTCTAAGATTTCTCTCAAGCTGTCTTTTATTTTAGCGTCTTTGGAATTACTACATAATCCCTTGAGAAAGTTTCCCAAAAAAGGATTTTATAAAAGTGTGGTAAAAATAAGAATATTTTTATTCCCAAATCAACATTTTGATAACAACCTGACTTGAAAACGATCAGATCACCATGCAAACATTACAACATCTCAAACATTACAATGCGTAACTGAACTGTTGAACCAGTTGCAAAATATTACTGCCGTAACTTTCCCTCTTTATGGTAATACCATTCTTGACTTTGATAGCTTTTTCCATGGTCCTATTTAGAAATCCATGTATTTTTTAGCCTTTTAAGCACTAAGAAGTAGTACTGGAAATGACCATAAGGAAAGGTTTCTGTTAAGATTTTTTGTCAAAAATTTAGGATTCTGTCAACGAAACCTATAACAAAATTTAAAGCTTTGAGAGAAAACCCTGTAAGACTTAACTGGCTCATTTTTGATGCTTAAACTACTGTTTTGACTTTCCTGATTTCACTTCACTTAAGAGCCCTACGTCAATAATGTTTCGTGCTAATTATATCGGCCGGATAGGATAATTTTTGTGCAGAATAAAATCTTCCTCGAATACGTAACTAATACCTCCCGCTGAGAAGATCGAAAAAAAACGCAAAAAATTATAATATGCTTAATTGAAGATTGCCTATTCTTAAATTACACAATAAAATAACGGATAGAGTATTTTCTCTACTTATTCTATTTGTTTATCCAGCTACAAGTCTCTAAGGTCTTTTTCATTCGAGATATTCTCATCCTCTTTCCTATAACAAACGTAAAAAAAAAGAAAAACAATTATAAATAACATAATCAACATTTCTTAAATAAAGCAAATACAGTTATACCAGGCGCAATATGTGGGCAAATGTACACTTGTATCTGATTGGCAGAGAGACGCTTTCAAGATTATATTTTACATCAATCTGAGAGAATCAATTGTTACTCTTAGAAAGAAACAAAAAAATAAGGTATAAAACTAGCCTTGGTATTCAAGGTAACAAAGGATCCCCGCCAAGAGTCAGCGACCAGTAAGTCATAAACACATTCACATCTAATTTAGCTTATAAAATACCTGTTCTCACCGAGTCTTACCTCTGCTTCTCAAACTCGAGCCTCACATCATCTCCAATCAGCGTAAACGAAGCCCACTCAGACACTTTGGTAAAGCCGTTTTTTCTCATCCACCTCATGGCCTGATGAAGGGATTCACTGGCACTTTCTCCTTCAACAAGGTGTTTGTAGAACCGATTCATCAGCTGCTCCGTTGCTAAGTCTGGTATGGCCCACAGCGCAACTAACACCGAGCGAGCACCAGATTCTAAGAACGCACGGGCAATTCCTATAACTCCCTCGGCTCTTTTCCGTCCACTTCCACTGTGACAGCAGCTAAGTACCACCAGTTTAGCTCTGACTTTCACTCGTGAGACATCAGCCATCGTCAACATGTAAGCTTCCTGTGGTGGGATAGCATTTTGACTGTTGGAAATAGGAATGGGGGAGAGGGCAATTTCTCCCCTTTCGGCGTTACCATGGGCAGCAAAATGTATCAGGCTCACTGAACCTATCCGCTCAAGCACCGCCTGCTTCGTTGCTTTCTCCTCTACCAGAGGCGGAACACCCACCAGTCGTCCAATCATCTCCGCTTCCTTTCTTGCACCTGGCAATGGCAGCAGCCAATCAACCTTGGGATTGCCTATTATCAAGGCACCAGTGTTGCTGTGATAGTCCTCTGGACTATCTTGAATGATCTTGAGTGTTGTCAAAGAAGGAATGACACGGATCCTATGGGTCTCCAACATGTATTCGGCTCCCTCTTTTTCACTCAGGGCAGCAAAGGGAACTTTGTATAAACTGCGGTCAGGAACAATAATGACTTCAGGCTCCTCAAGAAAATCATAAACGGGGGCAATAAAGATTTTGTAACACAAAGATAAACTTGAAGTGACTCCGTCGTTCTCGTCCTCCTCTACGAGTCGCAATCTTGCCGAGTTCTTTTGTTTGGGGAAGAGAGGTTGCAATTCAACCATATCTAAAGACCGATCTTCACAATCTGCAATGGGCAAAATACCAAGACTGCGCAAATTATCAGCCAAAAATTGACTCAAAGGCAAATCTTTGGGCAACCCAGCCTTAGCTAGAGTCTCTTCTAGTGATATCCTTTTAAAGTGAAGGCCTCCATTTGTTTTCAAAATCCACAAACGCAGATGATCGTGAAAATAAGAAATGTACAGACAAGTGCAGTTATTTTCCTTTCTAAAAATGTTCTCAATGTCAAACCAAGATTGTGGATCAGCAGAAATGTGCGTTTGAACCGAGTACTTTTCTGCCATCAAGTCTGAGAGGCCTCTAGCTCGACCCAACTCCTCAACATAAAGAGCATCACGAATTTTTCTGGTGACACAAAGCAAACTACAAAGCAGCTTGTAGGGAAATATTCCTGAAGCCTCCAGAAATGATGTTTTGAACTCATCATTGGCGCCCAACAAATGTCTTAGCTCCTCATATTTTTCAATGCACAGTTGAAGACACGAAAGGGAGTCTCTGATTTTATTTTGAAGTAAATACAAAATGGCGCATTCTCGAAGGATTTGGAACTCGCTTCGTCTGTCTCCAATATTTCTGGATATGGATAAGGCTTTCACCAAGCATACTTCTGAAGCTTCATAATCTCCAACAGTTCTAGACACAAATCCAAGGTTTGCAAGATCTGCTGCTTCCCATTGCTTATCACCAATTTCAGTACTGATAGTAAGCGCTCTTTGGAAATGCTTTTTAGCGTTTTTGTATTGCCCGAGCAACTGAAACACAGTACCTAGGTCTCCATAGTTAGTTGCCTCTCCTTTTCTGTCGCCAATTTCAGTTGAGATGACAAGCGCTTTTTGGAGATACTCTTTAGCCTTGTCGTACTGCCCGAGCGACTTAAACACAGTACCTAGGCTTCCATAGCATGATGCTTCTCCTTTTTTGTCACCAATTTTAGCTGTGATGACAAGCGCGTTTTGGAGATGCTCTATAGCCTTGTCGTATTGCCCGAGAGACCCAAACACGTTACCTAAGCTACCGTAGTGAGCTGCCTCTCCTTTTCTGTCTCCAATTTCAGTTGTGATGAAAAGTGCTCTCTGGAGATGTTCTTTAGCCTGGTCGTATTGCCAGAGGTTATGAAACACGGCACCAAGGTTTCCACAGTCAGTTGCCTCTCCTTTCCTGTCGCCAATTTCAGTTCTAATGACAAGCGCTTTTTGGAGATGCTCTTTAGCCTTGCCATATTGCCAGCGACACCAAAACACAACACCTAGGTTTCCATAACTTGATGCTTCTCCTTTTCTGTCGCCAATCTCAGTTGTGATAACAAGCGCTTTTTGGAGATGCTCTATAGCCTTGTCGCATTGCCCGAGAGAGTGAAAAACAGCACCTAGGTTTCCGTTGACAGTTGCCTCTCCTTCTCTGTCGCCAATTTCAGATTTGATGACAAGCGAGTTTTGGAGATACTCTTTAGCCTTGTTGCCTTGCCCAAGAGAGTGAAATACAGTACCTAAGTTTCCATAATATATTGCTTCTCCTCTTCTGTCACCAATTTTAGTTGTGATGACAAGCGCTTTTTGGAGATACTCTTTAGCCTTGTCGTACTGCCCGAGCGACTTAAACAGAGAACCTAGGCTTCCATAACATGATGCTTCTCCTTTTCTGTCGCCAAGTTCAGTTGAGATGACAAGCGCCTTTTTGGAGATACTCTTTAGCCTTGTCGTACTGCAGGAGCGACTTAAACACAGTACCTAGGCTTCCATAACATGATGCTTCTCCTTTTTTGTCACCAATTTTAGCTGTGATGACAAGCGCGTTTTGGAGATGTTCTATAGCCTTGTCGTATTGCCCGAGAGACTCGAACACAGTACCCAGGTTACTATAAAATGATGCTTTTCCTTTTCTGTCGCCAAGTTCAGTTGCGATGACAAGCGCTTTTTGGAGATACTCTTTAGCCTTGTTGTATCGCCTGAGCAACTTAAAAACAGTACCTAGGCTTCCATAACATAATGCTTCTCTTTCTCTGTTGCCAATTGTAGTTGCAATGAGAAGCGCTTTTTCGAGATACTCTTTAGCCTTGTCGTACTGCCCGAGGGAGCAAAACACAATACCTAGGTTTTCGTAGCAAAATGCCTCTCCATCTCTGTCGCTAATTTCAGTTGTGATGGCAAGTGCTTTTTGGAAATACTGCATAGCCTTGTCGCATTGCCCGAGAGAGTGCGTTACAGTTCCTAGCTTTCCATAACATATTGCTTCTCCTTTTCTGTCGCCAATTTCAGTTGTGATGACAATCGCTTTTTGGAGATACTCCATAGCCTTGTCGCATAGTCCGAGCGACTGAAACACAGATCCTAGGTTTTCACAACATGATGCTTCTCCCTTTTTGTCGCCAATTTCAGATTTGATGACAAGCGCTTTTTGGAGATACTCTATAGCCTTGTCATGTTGCCCGAGAGAGTAGAGCACAGTTCCTAGGATTCCGTAGTCATTTGCCTCTCCTTTTCTGTCGCCAATTTCAGTTCTGATGGCAAGCGCTTTTTGAAGACACTCTTTAGCCTTGTCGTATTGCCTGAGAGAGTGAAACGCAGTTCCTAGGTTTCCATAACATGATGCTTCTCCTTTGTTGCATTGCCCGAGCGACTGAAACACAGATCCTAGGTTTTCATAACATGATGCTTCTCCCTTTTTGTCGCCAATTTCAGATTTAATTACAAGCGCTATTTGGAAATGCTTTTTAGCGTTTTTGTATTGCCCGAGCAACTGAAACACAGTACCTAGGTCTCCATAGTTAGTTGCCTCTCCTTTTCTGTCGCCAATTTCAGTTGAGATGACAAGCGCTTTTTGGAGATACTCTTTAGCCTTGTCGTACTGCCCGAGCGACTTAAACACAGTACCTAGGCTTCCATAGCATGATGCTTCTCCTTTTCTGTCGCCAATTTCAGTTGTGATGACAATCGCTTTTTGGAGATACTCCATAGCCTTGTCGCATAGCCCGAGTGACTGAAACACAGATCCTAGGTTTTCATAACATGATGCTTCTCCCTTTTTGTCGCCAATTTCAGCTTTGATAACAAGCGCTTTTTGGAGATACTCTATAGCCTTGTCATGTTGCCCGAGAGAGTAGAGCACAGTTCCTAGGATTCCGTAGTCATTTGCCTCTCCTTTTCTGTCGCCAATTTCAGTTCTGATGGCAAGCGCTTTTTGAAGACACTCTTTAGCCTTGTCGTATTGCCTGAGAGAGTGAAACGCAGTTCCTAGGTTTCCATAACATGATGCTTCTCCTTTGTTGCATTGCCCGAGCGACTGAAACACAGATCCTAGGTTTTCATAACATGATGCTTCTCCCTTTTTGTCGCCAATTTCAGATTTGATGACAAGCGCTTTTTGGAGATACTCTATAGCCTTGTCATGTTGCCCGAGAGAGCAGAACACAGTTCCTAGGATTCCGTAATCAACGGCCTCACCTTCTCTGTTGCCAATTTCAGTTCTGATGACAAGCGCTTTTTGGAGAAGCTCTAATGCCTTTTCGTGTTGCCCGAGAGAGTGAAACACAGTTCCTAGGTTTCTGTATTCATTTGCCTCTCCTTTTCTGTCGCCAATTTCAGTTCTGATGGCAAGCTCTTTTTGAATACATTCTTTAGCCTTGTCGTACTGCCTGAGAGAGTGAAACGCAGTTCCTAGGTTTCCATAACATGATGCTTCTCCTTTTCTGTCGCCAATTTCAGATTTGATGACAATCGCTTTTTGGAGATTCTCTATAGCCTTGTCGCATTGCCCGAGCGACTGAAACACAGATCCTAGGTTTTCATAACATAATGCTTCTCCCTTTTTGTCGCCAATTTCAGATTTGATTACAAGCGCTTTTTGGAGATACTCTGTCGCCTGGTCGTACTGCTCGAGAGAGAGAAACACGGTTCCTAGGTTTCCATAGTCAGTTGCCTCTCCTTCCCTGTCGCCAATTTCAGTTCTGATGACAAGCGCTTTTTGGAGATGCTCTATAGCCTTGTCGTATTCCCCGAGAGACTGAAACACAGCACCTAGGTTTCCGTAGTCAGTTGCCTGTCCTTCTCTGTCGCCAGTTTCGGATTTGATAACAAGCGCTTTTTGGAGATGCTCTATAGCCTTGTCGCATTGCCCGAGCGACTGAAACACAGTTCCTAGGTTTCCATAACATGATGCTTCTCCTTTTCTGTCGCCAATTTCAGATTTAATGACAATAGCTTTTTGGAGATACTCTATAGCCTTGTTGCATTGCCCGAGCGACTGAAACACAGTTCCTAGGTTTACGTAGACAGTTGCCTCTCCCTCTCTGTCGCCAATTTCAGTTGTGATGACAATCGCTTTTTGGAGGTGCTCTATAGCCTTGTTGCATTGCCCGAGTGACTGAAACACAGTTCTGAGGTTTCCATAACATGATGCTTCTCCTTGTCTGTCGCCAATTTTAGATTTGCTGACAATCGCTTTTTGGAGATGCTCTATAGCCTTGTCGTGTTGCCCGAGAGAGTGAAACACAGTACCTAGGTTTCTGTTGACAGTTGCCTCTCCATCTCTGTCGCCAATTTCAGATTTGATGACAAGCGTTTTTTGGAGATGTTCTTTAGCTTTGTTGCATTGCCCAAGAGAGTGAAACACAGTTCTAAGGTTTCCATAATATGATGCTTCTCCTTTTCTATCGTCGATTTCGGATTTGATGACAAGCGCTTTTTGGAGATACTCTTTAGCCTTGTGGTATTGCCCGAGCGACTGAAACACAGAACCAAGAGATCCGTAGTCAGTTGCCTCTACTTCTCTGTCGCCAATTTCAGTTCTGATGACAATCGCTCTTTGGAGATACTGTTTAGCCGTGTCGCATTCCCCGCGCGAATGAAGCAATGCTCCCAGGTTTTCGCAACAGGATGCTTCTCCCTCTTTGTCGCCAATTTCGGTTGCTATGGCAAGGGCCCTCTCAACATACTCCTTCGCTTTTAGGTTCTCGCCAAGTTTATAAAGCACAATTCCGAATCTTGCGAAGGCTCTTGCTTCGCCAATTTGTTCACCAGTTTGTCTCTTAATATTAAGTGCTTTTTTGTAAAGTTGTTTGGCATTTGTAAACCTGTTTTGACCCTCAACTATTTCTGCTAGAGCTAAGCTTACATTTCCTTCTTTTACTAAGTCACCAGACTCGCTGTATAAGACAAGCAGTTTCCTGCCGTATCTTTCCGCACTTTTATGGTCAGAGATAAGACAATAAGCGCTGAAAAGAAGTAAATTGAAGGCGCTGTAAAATTGCAGCAGTAGTGAATTAAATAGGTCTTTGCTGTTTTGATCGGTGCCATTTAGCAAAATCAAACATTCGCTGCATATCTCAATGGCTTTCTGAGTGCGATCTGAGTTGAGCAGGAACAGAGCAACTAGAAAGGCGATGTTTATGAAAGCTATCATGGCTTCTGCCGTTAGGTTTCCATTGCCATCCTCTCCTGTTATAAGGAAAACATTATTTTAATAACAAAAGTTAACAGAATAACTCAATAATCTGGATTCACATTGAGTCACTGCAAACAGGAACCCATATGTGAAGTTACCAAAACGGGCTGGAAACTTTTTGTAACGAGCTGAAAGTGTTAGAATTCATAATATCGAATTAAAAATAATAATAATAGGTGAAGAAGACGCGTGATAAGTACAACTAGAGCACATCAACGGATCACATTCGGTGAGACTTGTAAAATTAATTTGACCTGCACTGTTTTCTTGAAAACGAACTGTGTGACTTTCACGCTGTGAAAGTCAACTGTTATCCAAGCGATTTTTGATCTAGCTGTTTCGTTTGTTCATCTTATCAAGTAAAAAAAAAACAAAGACTCGCGCTTGAGTTTGACTGATGGTCGTGTGTCGGGGGGTCGTGCCATCGTTCGTTGAGCTCTTCCAAAACAAAGTCAAGTTAATAGCTGATGCCGATCATAGCCACTGGAAAACCACATAATGAAGCGGATTTTCACGGATTTTGTCCAGCGAGGGACAGTCCACAACATAAATACAGGTCTGAATTTAGTTTCACGATCATCACATCATTTCTCAAATTGAACGATACTCAATAACCTTAGTTAATGAGTATAAATTATACGGTATGAAGTCACAGAGATTTGAAATAGTCTTCGCAGAAAGGAGTTATTTCCCTGTGATGGCGATTCAATCGCGCCATCAACCGCTTTAATGATGGGCTAACGTTCGAAACGAGACAATTACATATTGAAAACACAAGGACCGAAAAAGCATTTACTGGGCTTTTCCATAAGAGCCTTACCTCTCTACAGTTACTAAATAACGATAGCTGATAAAAACCAAGTGACCAAAAAAGATTTTCAGATCAATGGCACGTAACAAGATGTTGACGATGTGGCTGATGCTTTGAAAATGAAATTACAAAAATAACGAATTCCAGTCGGGACTTTTCTCAACTCTTGAATAGGGAATGTCAGACTTTAGTGTTTACCCCTTTGAAATGTTTGATTTTCATCACAAGATCGATCACAGTACAACCTAAATAAGTTACTCTCTTTTTAAACCGTAAGCTATCTTTGATTGATAATCGACTCATTGTCTTCACGAATTCGTGAACTTTTCATTTTTCTAGCGTGTGTGATTTGCATAATCGAAGCCAAAAATACTAAAAAAAGCTGAGTGGCAAGTTTGGCACGTCACACTTTTCTAACTAATGATGGATTTTAGCATCCAAAAATGAAAAATATTGCTCTGTTTAACAGGAAACGTCAGGCTTCAGTGTTCATCCATTTTGGAACGGTTGAATTTGTAACACGAGATCGATCAGATCGAGAGTACAACTAAAGCTTCTGTCTTGAAACAGTAAGCTTCTTGTGCTGGGAAATTCATCCATTGTACTCATGAACTTTTCATTTTCTTGCGGGTGTGATTTGCATGACCGAAGACAAAAATACTAACTGTTATAGCAAAAAAAAAAGAAAATGATAAAAAAAAAAAAAAAACGGACGGAGTGGATCGGTGATTTGCACGAAATTAACCACATCACTGGTTTTACGTTTAAGGGCGTTGATCCAGTGACTAAAATGTGGCAACAAGCAAATTACATTAGAGAGAGAGAGAGAGAGAGAGAGAGAGAGAGAGAGAGAGAGAGAGAGAGAGAGAGAGAGAGAGAGAGATAGCTTGACTCTCATTAATAATCCATAGTTATAGCAAATACTTATTCATATTTCTTTTGAGGAGGGGAGAGAGGTGGGGGAAATGGACTGGACTACAGTTACGTTGTAGGATCCCCGCATCCAGTAGGCACTCTCCTGAAAACTCCCAACGGCAATTCCCGCTGCTTTAACATTTTTTTCCCGAAAGGGCACTAACACCGAGCGATTATTTGAATGATAACAATTATATATTACTAAGGTTCTTCATTGTATTCGAAAAAAATAACAAGCAAGTGCAAGTAAGCTTGACAAGCTTGTTTCCCGCTTAAAATTAGTATTGATGTTAGCATTACCTGATTTCTCCAAATTCAGGAAAATTTCATTTTTCAAGGCTACACGGTCAAAGCCAAACAAGTCGCATTTGAGAATTATGGGCGCACTGTAGTACTGTAGTAGAAGGAGGGTCTCAATGGGGTGATGGCTTTTACGGCTGACGGTTAAAATTTTGGCCATTTAACCACTAACGGTTATCAATATTCCATGAGTTGTAGCAAAATATTGTTTCAGCAGGCTGTTACTAAGTAACGAGCTTACTTATCACATGACTGATGTCACTGAAATGAATCTATTCTTAGCTGATAAGAATGATAAATAATTTGTGAGGCCACAATGCTTTGCGACGAATTCATTTCACTCCGGTGCCAATTTTTGCACAACATGTCGTGACTTAATAGTACTAGGACAGGACAGGACAAATTAGCAATCATTTTAAGCCTTTGCAATTAAAACGTTACTCATACCACAAGTAACCTTACAAGTTAAACCTCAAGCTACGGTATAGTTACTCTAAAAAAAGCAATACAAAATTACCGATGTCGCAGTTGATACTTACGAAAGTGAAACGACAAAAACAATAAAAAACAGTTGCCACCTTTCCCTTGAAAACATCTTGACTAATTTTAAAACCACAATATACTGTTCTGCACGTTTTTGACCGTTTAAGAGATAGAGAAATGTTTCGGTTGTCATTTTACCAGTAACCTGATAACGTGATGGAAGTAAAAGGATTGTAATCTTCCTTCTCCCACATTTATGAAAGGATTTAATTATGAGTTCGTGGAATAGCAATGACAAAACATTTAGATTTCAGAGCGAATGTTGTTTGAGTTCATTTGAAAGCCTAACAATACTTCTCAACCAATTTAACGGCTGGGCATGGTAAACTAATCACATCTGAAAAGTAAGCGCAGTGATCAGTTACGCTTTTTCCAGTTCCTCCCAGAGAATTATAACATCTTTCTTCGTGAGCACGCGGTGTCATAGACTGACCTCTCTTATTATGGGAGACCTTGGTACTTTCACGAAAAGCAAACAAGGTCACTTGAATCACTAACGGAAATTATAGACACTGGAAAACCACGAACTATAACACTGCGAATATCCTCTGACAGTAGTAAAGACAGTCGGCATTATAAATATATCTTGATATAGGATTCATTTTAGTTTTTGACCACATGATTGAGGAAATCATCAGTTTCTCAAATTAAACAATACTTAACAAGCATAGCTAATGAGGTTGAAATATATTGTATAAAACCATAAAGGTTTGAAGAAAGTAATTTAACGGTGGAAATATGAAGCATCCGTTCAACGGAAAAGTACGCTTATATTATGTATGTCAAAAAAGTGAATTTAAGAAAGTTTTAGTCTCTCTAAGAAAATTAAAACGTCTCTCTTCGTGAGCGCGCAGCGTCATGACTTATCCTCTTCTGCGAGACTCTGGCACTTAAACAGACAAAGAAACAGATTACGCCCTTGAAAAAAAATTTGTAGAACCCGCCGCTAGAATCCAAAGATTTAAGTGAAGGGTATTTCGACCATGAAACGCTTGTGTATAAGTAGAAAACGGAAATTCAATTCGAATCTAGCGCGATCTCTGAATCGTTCGTTCAACCCTCCTAAAACAGAGACAAGTTAATAGCTAATGCAGATCAAAGCCACTGGAAAACCACGTAATGAAGCACCATGGATTTCCTTCAGTGAGGGACAGTCCACAACATAAATAGAGGTCTGATTTTAGTTTTATGATCATCAATTTCTCAAATTGAACGATATTCAATAACATTAGTTAATGAGGATTAATTATACGGTATAAATCCACAGAGATTTGCGAAAACCACTGAATAAAGAATTTATTTCACTGTGTTAGCGATTGAATCGCGCCATCAACAGCTTTAATGAAGGGCGAACGCTCGAAACGAGACATAATTACATCACAAGATTGATCACAGTACAACCTAACTAACTTTCTCTCTTTAAAACGGTAAGCTATCTTTGGGTGATTATCGGCTCATTGTCTTTGTGAACTTTTCATTTTTTAGCGAAAAAAACCCAAAATTGCTAAAATACTGAGTGACTGTATTTTGGTTTCACGCTTTTATAACCAATGATGGATTTTAGCATGCAAAAATAAAACATCTCACTCTGTTTAACCGAGACGTCAGGTTTCAGTGTTCATCCCCTTTGGAACGGTTGGATTTTTATTACAAGATCGAGTAAAACTAAAGCTTTTATCTTTAAATTAAACAGTAAGCTATCTGTGCGTGAAAACTGATCATTACCCATTGTACTCCGTTTTCTTGCGGGTATGATTTGTATGATCGAATACAACAATACTAACTGTTGTAATAAGTTAAAAAAAAAAAAAAAAAAACGGACGGACGGACGGACGGGATCGGATCGGGTTTTGCTCAAAAAATATTACTGGTTTTCCACTTGAAGGGGTTGATCCGGTGACTGAAATATGGAAATAAATAAATAACATAAGCGAGAGTACCTTGACTTTCAGTAATAAACAGTAGTCATAAGTTTAACTTATTTCTTTTGGGAAGGGGAGAGAGGTGGAAGAAATGGACTGGACAAAAGCAACGTTGTAGGATCTGCGCATCTGCAAGGCATTCTCCAGAAACCTTTTTGTCTTCTTTTTTCCTTAGGAAATTTCAAGAAAATTCTGGAGGACACTAACACCGAGCGATTATTTGAATGATAAAAATTCAATATGGCTTTGGTTCTCCCTTCTCCCCAAAAAGTAATAAACAACTGCGAGCTTGACAAGCTTGCTTCCCGTTTAATTTAGTATTGATGTCGGCATTACCTGATTTCTCCAAATTCGGGGAAATTCCATTTTCCAAGGCTACACGGTCAAAAGTCGCATTTGAGAATTATGGGTTCACTAGTAGAAGGAGGATCTAAATGAGGTGATGGCTTTTACGGCGAACGGTTAAA